ATTCGTATTCTCATTATAGTATTGCAACCTATTGCTATACACTATAATACTATAACAAGTATATGTGTATTGGTATAAAGTTCAGGCTTGAAAAGCTCATACAGGAAGACCCCAAAATTCTGGGTCAGACCATATCAAAACTCTGGTCGGATGAGTTGGAATTGATTAATTTTGCCCAAGATCATTAAAATTTTTACTAATGAAATCATAGTCATTTATTAAGTGAAAAGTGCCTAGCTACTAATTTATTATAGTTTTTACTAACCAGTATAGCTAATCTTAACCTTAACTCTGATGTATCTGATCAGAGAATTTAGAAATCTTTCTGTAAAAAATAGCACAAGGGTTTGGTTCTAAATAATCACATAGGCAGTGTTGCAGAAAAATATGATGGTTATCTACTTGAACTATCATGTTCTGATTAGACAAAATTGATGATCCATAAAAATAATACCTTGTTTCTAAACTTTGAACGATAATATCTTAATAACTACATATCTAAAATCAATAAAAAAATTTTATTTTAATTCTGAGTTCATACAATTAAAATAAAAAATTTTTATCAATTTTGAATAGGTAGTTAGCAAGATATAATCACTCAAAGTTTAAAAAACTTTGGCCACAACCTTTGTTTTGATAGTTGTCTAAATTTTTTGTTATACTTTAACTGAGAATATCTCGTTATCTATTTCTCTAAAATTGTTGAAATTTTTTTTTATTTTTATAAACTCATAGAATTAGATAAAAAAATTTTGTTGATTTTCGATTAGTATTATCAAGATATCATCACTTAAAGTTTAGAAAAAACTTAGCGAATATTTTGATAAGGCTATACAAAATTAATTTTTTGTTTCTTATAACATTAAATTTTAAAAATGATCTGGTCGGCCATGTTTTTAAAAAATTTTATATATAAAACTTTATAAAATTTTTTTGAAACCCCACCGGCTATTAAAACATATAAATAATTTTTCTTCAAAAGTTTCAAAATTTGACCAGCCAGGTTATAAGAGACAATTAATTAAATTTGTATAGCCTAATTTCTAAAATTGTAGAAATTTTTTTTACCTTAATTCTATAAATCTATAGAATTAAAATAAAAATATTTTTATCAACTTTAGATTGAGATATTCTCAATCAAAATAAATTTAGATGATTATCAAAGATTACACTATATTTTAAATGATAATATCGTGATAACTACCCATCTAAAATTGATGAAAATTTTTGGTTTAATTTTATAAGTTTGTAGAATTAAAAAAAAACAACAACAATTTAGAGAAATAGGTATCGAGATATTCTAAGTTAAACAAAAATTTAGGTTGTGGCTAAGTTTTTTTTAAACTTTGATAATATCTCGATAACTACTGTACTTGCCTAAGATTGATAAAAGTTTATTTAATTCTATAGATTCATATAATTAAAAAAAATTATTATTAATTTTTGATAGTCCTATCGATAGATCATTACTGAGTAAAAATCAGAACTGATTGTAAATTTAGAAATTGAAGGCGATAGAGTTGTTGTAAAACTTAAACTACGATGGTGCACCAGTTTTCACCAATCACCAATTATCAATCAACATTGGTGATACTGGTGAAACTGGTAAAATTGGTAAAACTGGTGAAATTGGTGATGCTGGTAAAACTGGTAGAATTGGTGAAACTGGTGATACTGGTAATGTTAGTGAAACTGGTGATACTAGTAAAACTATTGAAACTAGTGATACTCGTAATACTGGTGAAATTGGTGATACTGGTAATACTAGTAATACTGATATATTTAATTTATCATTAACATATATAAATTAAATATATCGATATTACTAGTATCACCAGTGTCACCAATTTCATCAGCATTACCAGCATCACTAGTTTCACTAGTATCACCAGTATTACCAGTTTTACCAGTTTCACTAATTTGACTATTGAGTTGCATCATGGTATATCAGTTTCACCAGTTTCAACTGGTGAAACTAATTAGTTTTACCTGCATCCGAATTTGCATTAGGCTATAAATTATTTATAAAATTATTAGATGGAACTTCGTTACCTGCAAAATGGTTTGAGGAATCGGTTACAACTATAGATGAATTTCTTTCATCAATCTATAATAAAGTTATTTTATTAACTAAAAAATGCTAATGCTTTGTCGAATGATTATTATATAACTTTTAAGAAACAAAGAGAAGCAGATGCCGGCACTCAATTAGCTGACGCACAGGATTTCGTCAAGTTTAAAGCCAAATATTCGAAACTAGCTGCGAGAAAGAGTGACATTGGAATTTATGTTACTGTCACACAACCTTTTGCTTCTCAAAATAAACGAAAAAAAAAGTATGTACAGTAGCCACCAAAAGTAACGCCCGATTTGCAGATCATCTC